GTGTAGCATCGTCTTATTAAAAGAACATGGAATCTAAATTATATACATAAGATAATGTAATAAGTTAATATTACCCATGTGCATATTGTGTTTTATAAGTTTTTAGGTAACTCTTTAACCTTATGTAGTTTCGAGAGTGGTCTACCAAAACCTTGTTTTAGGTGGAAAAAAGCAACTGGTACATAGTTAAACATTATCGAATTGATGTTTACAACCTCCAGCATAATCAATTAAGGAAAATTGTGCTATAACCCTGTTTAGACTTTATAACTGTTGGAGTGGGAGAGATGGGAGGGGTGTCCTGTCCATGAGGGGACACAGGGGCAGAGATATTGGAGGCAGGGTCTGGAATCAAAGTAGACGTTAGATACAGGAGGGATAAACAGGTTATTTGAGCTAGAAGCCAGAATAGGGGAGACTAGGGAATATTTGGCAAGGAGGTATTTAAGGTTTTGGATTTCCTCAAGTAGAGGAGAGTTAGTGGAAGGAGAGTGGGTGATGGACTTAGAGCAGTGCTGGAGAGGGGGGAGGTCATGGTGTGGAGAGGGAGTTTGAGTTGGAGAAAGGGGGAGAGATGGGTTGGGCCCTGGAATGGGAGGCAAGGGAGAGTATAGCAAGGGGAGAGCATGGGGAGGACTTGGCTGTGCCTCAGGCTGGGGAGCAGGAGGAGGTTGGGAATGGGAGATAATCTGAGGTAGTTCATCAGCTATGGTAGGATCAAAAGCTGAGGTGGAGGGATTGGGGGGGTGGGGAGGGCCTGGTGGGTTGGGATCCTGTGAAACTGTCTTAGCCAGAAGAACCTGATGGGAAGAACATGGGACCCAGAGGGAGGGATTAGCATGGAGATCAAAGGAAGCTTGGCTGTATGGTAATTCAGACCGTTTGCCTTTACGATGGCAGAAATTTTCTAAATCTCTCAAAATATTGAAGTTTAAGGTTTCAGTGTCTGGCCAAACAGAGTTATTATCTAACTCGTACTGAGGCCAGGCAGTGGTGCACAGGAACTTCAGGCGTTTTGGCCTGATTGTATCCGAAAACCCTAGTTGTTTTAAGGATTTAAGAAGACAAGCAAGAGGTGTGAGATCCTGAGACTTTGAGTGGGTAGTT